GCATCGCCTGCGGGCCCCGCGGGGCGGCCTCTGAGCGCCGGGCCGGGGAGGGAAACGGGAGGAGGAGGGGGCACACGGAGACGCGGAGACAGGAGCAGAACGAGAGACAAATAAGAGAGAGACACAGCGGTGGGAAGACAGAGACAGGGAGACAAGCACAGAAAGAGATACTCGAAGATGAGATACAGGGAGGGAGAGACCCAGGTGGAGGGTGGCGGTGGGTAATGGGGGCAGGAAAGATACAGAGGTGGGGAGGACAGTGAGACAGGACAGCCGGGAAAGAGACCCACAGAGATGGGATCAAAATGGGAGCAGAAAGAGAGACCCAGGGAGACAGGAAGAGAGATGCAAACCGTAGAGATAGGGAGAGCGCGACAGAAATCAGGAGAGAGGTGGGGAAAGAGACAGGGATAGAGGGGCTCAGAGTGAGAGCCAGGGGGATGAGGCGGAGAGATAAGACGGGGTGACATGCGGGGGAATGTTAGGGAGGCAAGGAGAGATGCGGGGAGAGGCGAAGGGAGGCAGCAGAGAAGAGAGACGGGAAAGTTGGACAGAGAGGAAGATGGAAAGAAACCCAGGTGACAGAGACCCCACAGCCACCAAGAGACAAGCACACACAAGAGATGGAGAACCAGGCAGAATGGGAGATCGAGGGAGGAGGCGGCGGGCAGAGCAGACAGAAACAGGCGGACAGAAATAGCGAGGAGAGGCAGAGATCAAGACCCCCACCAGGCAGGGGCCCCGCGGACATGAAAGGAAGGCCGGGAGGCGGGTGGCGGGAGCGATCAGAAATAAGAGGAAGAAAAAGATGAGAAAGGGAAAAGGGGTCAGGTGTGTGGGGGAAGAGAGAGAGAAAAAATTAGTGGGGCATCCTCAGGAGAGAAAATGTCCCATGACATTACCCCGCACCTAGACGGCAACCCCCAGCCCATTTTGCCCCTTACCCCTGCCCCTGTTCCCTCATTCTCAGTGAGAGCTGGAAAGAGTCACAGCCCGGGGTGGGCTGTGGGGTTGAGGGGCACAGCTGCGGAGAGGGGCACAGGGGTCCCTGGCTCCCAGCCTAGAGCAATTTCATAAATGAGAGGAAATAGCATCTCTTCCCGTGTCCCCTGTTGAATACTAGCTGCCTGGGGAGGTCGGGCTGGGAGCCCAGACTCCTGGCTTCTGGGTCTGAGGGAGGAGGGCATTGGAGGCCTGGACTCCTGGTTCCCAGAGAGGAATTACAGCCTGCACTAGGGCTTCCCGAAGGGGTGAGGGTCCAGACAGGGAAGGGTTCTCTCCTGGTTGTCAATCAAGCTCCTGTCCGGTTGCCATGGTAGCACAGGCCTGTCTACCCCACTGATAGCCAGTGTAGGGGAGAGGCCCCCCCAGAGGCCTCCACCCCCACCCCACCCACCTTCCCAGAGATCCTGGGTCACTGTCTTCCCAAGAATGGGGGTGGGGGCTCCCAGCATGCCAAAATCCCTCCCAAATCCTAGCTCCCCATGTCCCTCCTCTCCTCTGCCCTTCCCCAGGCAGCTGGCTCAATCAGTGCTCAGAATAGTCCCCCTGCCCCAAAATAACCCACAGCTGTGGCCTGGCCCCCGCAGGGTTAACACTTTGCTCTCCTCCATTCCTGGTGGCTGCTCACCCCTCAGCCCCACCTCTGCCTCTCAGACCCACCCCTGCCTGGCCTCTGCCCTTGGGGTCCCCAGGGTCCTGTTCCCTGCTGAGGCCCAGGAGGGCAGCTTCAGCCCCACCCTTCTAGGGAGGCTGGACACCCAGTCCTCTCCCTTGAGGGATTCAGAGGGCAGTCCCCCACCCCTCGGAGACTGAGAAGCAGCATCCCCAGGCCCAAACCCCAGAACCTGCACCCTCAGGGAGGGATCATACTGTCCAGGCCCCCAACCTCCACCTCCTCTGGCCCCACTCCCATCCCCATGGGGCCAAAGAGTCCTGTCCCATCCCCTGCCCTGTCAGGGACTGAGGAGACTGAGCCCCAGCCCCCTCCTCCCTGAGACACAAAACCCTACCCTCCAACTTCTCCAACAGACTCCGAAGTCCTGGGGCTCGGTTCCCTCCTTATGCAGACCCAGGAGGCCAGGTGCTCAGTTTCCTCCTTTCCCAGGACCCAGGAGTCCCAGCTCCCTCCTGCCTCTAAACTCAGGAACGCAGGTGCCTGCCCAGCCTCCTGTACGCCCAGGACCCGGGAGGCCAAGCCCACAGCCCTCTGGTCTCTTAAGGACCTTCTTGTCTCAAACCCCATCAGTCCCAACATGCTGGGCACCCCCCAGCTCCAGGCTCGCAGCTGCCCAACTCTGGTCCTGTGCACAGCACAGCCTGTCCCCCAGCTGAGGAGGAGGAGGGTACCAGAGGTTCCTGGGGTGCCCCATCTCCATCACTCCCCCTCAATCCATCACAGAAGAGAGGAGAGGCCACTTTGATCAACAGCCCGCCCCCCCTCGCGTTGTGCTGCAGACGGCTTCCCGTTCCCCCCCCACCTACAACACTATTCTCTCCCCACCCTAATCCTGGTGCTCAGAAGAGGCTGGAAGGGTGTTCTAGAACCTTGGGGAAGGGGTGGTAGCTTGGGGTGAGGGGTGCTGGGGCCTGGATGCCCTCAAGGTCCTTGGCAGGGGTATTAATAGCAGACTCATAGCTCTGAGAAGGGAGGGGAGAGCCAGAGGAGAGAGGGAGAGGAACGGGCCAGTGAGGGGGGAGACTGATGCGGACAGGGGGGTGCAGGGAAGGGGAGATGGGAAGATGGGGGACAGGCATGGGGTGTCAGGTAGGTGGGGCAGGGGGAGGGTGCAAAATGTCAGAGAAATTGGGGGGCGGTTAAGAAGTCTGAGGTGTAGAGACCTAGGAAAAAGGGACTCAGAGAGAGAGAAAGATGGGGGGCAGACGAGTCCCCAGGAGACAAGGGAGCTGGAGGGATGAAGACCCCTGCTCACCATTCAACCCCCCCTCCTTCCCTGAGGCCCAGGGCCAACTTTCCCTGCCCTAGATCTGGGGGTCGTCTCCACCCCCACCCCTGCGTCCTCTACCCCAGGCTTACCTTTTCATGACCCCGTTCTGTTGGGGGGATTACGGGGGCTAAGACCGGAACCCGGAGTCCAGCGACCCGAAGATTCCGAAGAGGGCTCAGGGAGCCGCTGGGGGGGCCAGGCCCGGGGCGGTGGCGGAGGCGGTGGCAGTGGCGGCGGCAGGGCAGCGGCAGGAACGGGGACCTCCTGATTGTCCCTGGCTCCGGCTCTCTGTCCTCTTCTTAGGTCCGTCCTGCCCTGTCTGTCCCCCAAGGTTGCGGCCACCCCGACTAGGCGAGGACGCCGCTACACATGTTGCACTGGAAGTTGGGCCCCGGACATTGCGGAGGCTGTCGGGGTGTCCTCTCACCGCCTGGACCCCGTGGGGATCCCCCTCCACCCACCTGGGGTGCCCCCCTCTGCTGCTTCAGCCCCGGCTCCTCCCCCCAGTCCATGTGTCCAGTCCCGCCTCTCCTTGGCTCATTCTCACCCCCCTTTGTGCCCTGAGCGCCCCCCCAGCGT